CCACAGGTGGCAAAAGGTGCAGATTTCAGTTTACTTGCATGAGAACATGAGTGAGAAAGAGATGAAGTGTGAAAACTAGAGCAGAAACTGACCAGCGCTTTGGAAAGTTTGTTTTTCTAGACCTGCTTCATATAATATAATCATATTATGCTAATATATAAAATGGATTGAAGAACATAGTTGTGTTTATTGTTAAAAACATATTAAACTTAAAGAATTATTATAGCAGCCCACTGAACTTTTAATATAGCATGGCTTTAATGTCTACCAAAATGATGGTGATTGAAATCCTTTGTTTCCAGAGATGGTTTTATGAAATGGTCTCCTCCAGTAACATTTTGCTTTTAAAATACATGGACATTCATAATACTCGTGTTTTTGAGCATTTCGAGTGGCTCATGGTGTGTATTGTTTTCTCTCTTCTCTTCTGTAGTGCATTTCTCAAAAGCTTCATTGGGCAACTAAGGCCATCGTTACCAACATAGTTCAACGAATCGGTGTTTCCAAAAACCATAGATTCTATGAACATGCGCAAGCTGCATTGCAAACGTGGTTAGAACTGCGGCTCTCCACCTGTGGTTAGAAGCAGGGCGTGTTATGCCCTGTCTTTGCACTTGACTCCCTATATGACATATTTCCTGTATTTGGCCCAAGTGTTGAAGTGCATGACGACCACAAGTGTGTGTAGAACTTTTCATTACCTGATGGGACACACTTAGGCCTATACTGTTTTAACACTAGAACCGCCACGGATCAATTTTACCCGTGGCTGTTTTTAAAACATACATAAAAGATTTTTAATAAAACATTCAAGTCTCCCAGTCACTGACCTTTACTAAAATTGTGTGATTTACAATCCCCTGTTGTTAAAAACTGGGTTAGGGTTAGGGTTAGGATCAAAATAAAACCAGATCAAAAAACGGGTCATTTGTACACTTTAAAAAATTCTGGGTTAAATATAACCCAGCGCTGGGTTAAAAAGGGACAAACCCAGCTATTGGGTTGTTTTGACTCAGCTATTGGGTTGTTTTGACCCAGCGGTTGGGATGTTGCCTCTTATGTTTTAACATCGCCTTTCACTCACTGAATTAGCGGTTATCAGTTTCATAAATAAAGACAAAATTAGTAAAAGAAGTCTGATGGTGGGGAGATAAGTAGGCCTATAAGGCGTCCTGTCGACTCAGCATCTGACGGCGATATATCATATTTAGACGTTTTATCCTAATGTTACTCATAATTGTTCAAAATTTGGATTATTTAATTTTTGTTTTGCCATTTCTATAGTTTATTGTTCGCTTCTGTGTTGCTATTTATTCTAGTCTGCCTGTTTCCTGAAGAAAAAAAATCTGATCTGATGTAGGCTAATGAATAAAACCTTTTTTTTTTGATTACCCGAAGTTTATTGGTGTTCTTCTTGTATAAATTTACCCGCTGGCGCTTTTAGGTATACAGCGACCCCTGGCGGTTCTAGTGTTAAAAATGCAGCTGTGTGTCATCAGCATAGCAATGGTAGGAGAAACCATGTGCCTGTATGATATGACCCAGTGATGTTGTGTATATGGAGAAGAAGAGGGGTCCAAGAACTGATCCCTGAGGAACTCCAGTAAGCAGTTGATGTGATTTGGATACCTCCCCTGCCCAGGTCACCTTGAAAGACCTACCTGTGAGATAGGATTCAAACCAGCGAAGTGGAATCCCTGTGATGCCCAGTGATGAGAGGGTGGACAGGAGGATTTGAGGATTCACAGTTTCAAAAGCGGCAGATAGATCCAGCAGAATGAGAACTGATGAAGTTTGGTTTTACCAATCATCAAGCATGATTACCACAGTTGTGCTCCCTTCAAAGTGCACTCCAAAAACATTTAGGTATGCCATTTTGAATGGAACCATGGTTTGTGAAGAAATGTCAGTTTTATCATTTAAAAGCGAAAATCTTTGTTACAGCATTTCCAAAGAGAGAGTAGTCATATAACAATATTTCTGAAACACAACATATGTTAAATTTATCTGTACTGTATGTATATGCAACATATCCTATGTCCTATCTCATGTCAAAAAGTGCTATGCTATTGTAAAAGTAATTCATTCACATATTTAAAAATATTAAAATATTATTTGTACAATTACATTTCTGAAATCAAATATAATTGTAATAGGCAATATACCCAAATAAATGAAAAATCACCTGGCAATTTGAAAAACTGGTCAACACAAAACAGTCATGTGTGCTTCCATGCCATTTTGCCACGATATCAATGGTGATCACACACTTGTACATTAAAGAATGAAAATGAAATTTAGCCCATGATTTACTCACCCTCAAGCCATACTAGGTGTATATGACTTTCTTCTTTCAGAGGAATCCAATCTGAGTTATATTAAAAAATGTACAGGCTCTTCCAAGCTTTATAATGGCATGGGTGGGTGTTTTCCTTCAACAATCCAAAAGTAGTCCAATCTCTAACTTCCGCTAACTGTCGTATGCACAAGCAGTTCCATGCGGATGATGTAGGACATATGCGTAGCTTTAGCTCCTCACGAGAAACAATGTTTGTTTACAGGAGCAAAATGAAGCAAAGTTTCCTTACTTTCCTAAACCAGAAAACCTCTGATATTTTTCTTTACAAATCCTCATTTTGTACTTCTAATTTGTGACCTTTTTTTGGATTTGCTGTATCCTCCATGCTTCTGCGTTCATCACTTCTCACTGGTGCATGCGCTACGCCTACATCATCCACCTGGAACGACTTCCATGTTGGACAGTTATTGGAAATGACAGAAAAGTGTTTATAACATTTAAACATTTTAAAATATTTTTCTTACAAAAATGCATTGATTCGCTACAGGAGGCCTTTATTCACCCCCTAAAGCCACGAGGTAGCCTACGTTTTATAAAAGGTGTATGCAGTCCGGGTTTAGCAAAGCTGTGATTTAAGTTAAACAGTCTAGGAAAGGTTTATTGTTTGTTTTTGATTGTCAGATATTAGACAGATGAGCCTGGCCTCATGAAAATGCGTATAAACAGTACGCCAAATAAAAACAAAAACTCATGGTATTGATACGCAAAAATTTACTTTGGCGTGCATATGATACGCACGTGTTTGGCGTGCATATAATACGCAGTTTTCGTGTGCATATGATGCAAAATTTGTTGGCGTGCATATGATACGCATCTACCCCACCACAACCCTATTCCTACCCATTGTGTAGCAATACACGCCAAAGTCAATTTTTGCGTATCAATACCACAAGTTTTTGTTTTATTTTGGTGTACTATTTATACGCACTATCATGAGATCGGGTTCAAATTCCAATTGCAATTGCAAAATCCAGAAATGTCAACAATTTAATCCAGATTTTATTAAAAAAGATATATACTGTATATTTGAGTTTCAGCTTTCTGTCCACACTGAGACAGCGTTTTTGTCTAAGGAAAACTGTACATTTTGAAGACACTGTCTCAAGAGAATACATTTGAAAACACAGTTTTCATGTTGCAGCTTGGACTGTGAAAATAATTATTTGATGATGAATGTTTAGTCATATGAAGCATACAGACTAGTCTCGCGTAGCCAGACCTTCTGTGCTCCTCTCTGTTCCTCCTAAAGGAGTAATGCTGAGCTGATCGTCTCACTTCAGGCCTATATCGTATATAAAATGTACCTCTAGACAATAAAGCTTTGTACCTTGAGTGAACTGCACTACTTGTGTCTGTGTCATTCTTTGTCCCGGGTACCTGCTTTTCTGTGCTACATCGCTCAACCAGATCAGATCTTCTCAAAATACTTGATCTCAAATTCTTTATTCTAACACTGCTGGAGGTTGTTTTAGTTCGACCAGCAGAGGGTACTCGTTCCCTGACTTGTATGTGTCCTAAAGTCCTAGTATAATGATGCAGACTTTTGATGTAGAGTTAAACCAGCCCCTGTAAAAAGGAGCGTCAATTTGTGTTGGAAAAAAAACCCGTCAAGAATACACGAGCAATTTCAAAATTGGAGAAGGACATGTGAATTAACAGCAATAAGAGAACATCAGCTAGTGCGTATCAAAGTGAAACCGAAAGTAAAAATAAACACACTTACCGCACATTAGAAATAAAAACAGAAAGATGTTTAATGTTCCCTTCCTATTGCTCTAAATTCCATCAAAATCAGATTTCGATGCATAATATTACTGAAACATCACACCCACCCGACTGACCTCAACATTTAACACAATTAACTGAAGACAAATGGAAAGCTTTATATACCAACAGAGAGAGACTAACTTATGAATTTACATGACGACTGACGCTATAAAGGAGCAGAAAGTTTATGCTTTCAAAATAGGAAAGCCTGAATGGAAATGCTCCAGAAATTCTGATGGCGGCGGCAGCAGGATCTTCTTAACACCGGATCGCAAACTATAAAGCATTACTTAACTTACGTTGAATTGAAAAAACAAAAAACAACAACTAATAATTCACATAACTATTTTATAACTAGACAAAGGATATTATAATAACAAAACAAACAAAAAAAAACTCTTTAATTCTGGATTTTGACATTTTTTCCATACCAAAAATTAATTAAACTAAACATTAAGCATGGCTTTCAGCAAACAGATCACCATTTATTTGAGATAAAATATAACATAATGCAGAAAATAAATGCTATTTATAAGTATTTAATTGGAATAACTGTGCTTATAAAATTACAGGTCAGTCACAGAGAGTAAATCATTGAAGATATTAAATGTATTTTTATCACGTAATATTATACAAAAACACATGCAATGGAAAATTACTTCTTCACAATATTGTACCAATACATTAGTCTACATTCTCTTATTTTACTATTTTATAAGGCAACACAGCACACTACATAAGATAAAACAGTAACAGTATGTATATAAACAGTACATATTATATATATATTTTTGAGTAGATAAAAATGTAAAAATGTTCTTTACACTAAGAAAAAATAATTCTTTAAAAAACTTTTCACTGATAAATTCTTTGGGCGATTAAAAATTGTACTTCTATGGCATCACTGCGAAAACTGATCCTTGTGATGAAAAAAAGACACTCTCATTGTCTCGCAGTCTAATGTACAAGATAAAACACTCCTGAAACGGTCAAAATCAACTTAGAGTTTGGAGTGTCATATTGTTCAGTGTTCAAATTTATCTAGGTTTGTTATCACAGCTTTCCCAATGCTGATGTTTGGTAATTGTAGCACCACAGATCATTTAAAGGTGTCACACTTCCTGCTTCTCTACAGACAACAATACAAATGCACTTCAAGCATGTGGACAGTATGTGGTTAATTTTGAGGCTTGTGTCTCTCTGCTATTGAGTAGTTCTTCATAAGTTCTTCTGTAGTTTTATAAAGTATAATACAATTTAATAAAGTAATTGGGATGATCTGTATCCAGTTGTAAAAGTTCATAAACATGTTTCCCTCTTCATCTAAAACCAAACAAGGGTTTACATGAGTTTAACAGCTCAACAACACACTGGTTCAAACATGCTGTTGTGATGATGTCACAGTGATTGACGCTGGTGGGCGTGTCTTATTTCATCACTCATTCACTTCATGCACATCTTCTCTATTCAACAGTGACATCTCAACAGTCTCTGGTTCATTCACTTGTTTTCCTGTGGAATCTGAAAGAAAATATAAAGTCAATCAAATGAACTAAAAAGAAAGAAAGAGTTTTGCTGCATTTACATCTATATGTATTATTTTAATTGAAAAAACTTGAAAACAACTTGAATTAACAGCTGAAAAAAAAAAGGTAAAAACAGACAAGCCGAACATATTCTTGGAACACTGCCAACCAATCAGATTAAAGAATGGAACTGTTGCGTAAATAAAAACGGTATATTGTTTTTTATAATAAATTATGTTCTACTCACCAGTGACAGTCACGTCAAATCTCCTGAATGTGGTCTGTTCGCTGTTGATGATTTGTAGTTTATAAACTCCAGAGTCTGTGGTTATGGTGTTTCTAATGGTCAGAGATCCAGTCTGATGATCCAGCTGCAGTCTGCCTCTGAAATTCTCACTAATAGTAGTTGTTCCTGAATCAACTTTAACAACGAGACAATTTTTAGCTCCAAATGTCCACAGTATCAGATCATCGCTTTGTATTTCAGTGTCAATATTTAAAGTCACAAATTCTCCAGACTTCACGGGCTCTGTCCTCACTGTATGTCAAAGCAACACAGAGAAACAGAAATACAGAAGACAAAAAAATGTGAATTAATTTAGATTTTCAATATCACATATATGCGTACATTTAGATGACATTCTAATCTAGTTTGGAATGTTTGTACTAGGGCTGGTAATTTAACGCCGTAATTAATTACGGTGAAAAATAACGCGTTAAAATTATTAACGCAATTAACGCACTTGCCCCGCCCCAAACCTATGTGGGTCATCTGACATTTTATACAGTTGATTGATTACAAGTATGATGCAGGGCAACAACTCACTGCATGATGGAGCCTAGAGAACGTAGTTAAAATGTCCCTAAAATTCAAGATATGGAGCAAAAATGACCCTGTTTGAGATTTTGTCTCATATTTACATCATATAGCCTAGTTAAGCAATATTGCACGAGCAATAAGTGCAATATCACACGAGTGCAAATGTGATACTGATCTTACACAACAGGTTCAATAAATGAGTTTATATTGAGTTATTTTAGACACAATGTTGTCTGTTTTGCTAAATTTTGCCAACGAAAATATAAAGACAAAGCAGAACTGTTCGTCTCCGAGCAACACGCAGCTGCATTTCATTTCTTAATCCACGTTTTGAACGAATTGGGTGAATCATTAGGCGCATTGCATTTGAAGCGGCGCTGCACAGATCGATCGGTGTATGACATCAAAGTCCCGCGAGAGCGATTCAAAAGAATGCAGAATCGTGTGCTCTCTAATCGCTCTCGCGGTACTTTGATGTCATACACCATCGATCTGATGGTGATGATCGGCTTCAAGTCGAACAAGCCTAATAGTTCAAGGGACCATTCATAAAGAGAACCATTTACTACACTCCTGAATGAATCAGCCATTTGAAGGAATCAAATGAATGAATAAATGACTTGATGACTTAATCATTAAAGAGATACTCCACCCCAAAATGAAAATGTTGTCATTAATCACCATGTCGTTCCAAACCCGTAAAAGTTTAGTTCGTCTTCGGAACACAATTTAAGATATTTTGGATGAAAACCGGGAGGCTTGTGGCTGTCCCATTGACTGCCGAAGTAATTACACTGTAAGGTCCAGAAAAGTATGAAATACATCGTCAGAATAGTCCATCTGCCATCAGTGGTTCAACCGTAACGTTATGTATCCGCTGAACACAAGCAGCGTACGCTCTTCTGTGTCAGCCGCGCTGCACGGATGCGCTGTTTTCATTCAAATCAAAGCGTAAATACACGTAGAAAACATATACTTGTGACACGGCTGACACAGAATAGCGTACGCAGTTTGCCTTCAGCTCATATTCTCCAAAATGGCGCTAGGTGATGCGGAGAGACAGAGGAGACAAATTGTTGAATAAAGTATTCGGTAACAAAAAGTATTCTCGTCGCTTCATAACGTTACGGTTGAACCACTGATGGCAGATGGACTATTCTGACGATGTCTGTCATACTTTTCTGGACCTTGACAGTGTAATTTACAGTCAGTCAATGGGACAGTCACAAGCCTCCCGGTTTTCATCCAAAATATCTTAAATTGTGTTCCGAAGACGAACGAAGCTTTTACGGGATTTACCACCACCTACTGGCAGTTTTAGTTTATTATTTAGAGAATCATTTCATTAATGAAATAATTTCATATTTCTATAGTAATAATAATAATAATTATAATAATAATAAATTATTAAAAGTATAGTTCACCCACCCAAAAATGAAAATGTTGTCATCATTTACTCACCCTCATGCTCCAAATTTTTTTTATGTTGAATCAAACAAAATATTTCTTTCTGAAGCTACTTTTTGTAGTGTCTGTTTGATGCTTTACACAACCATGTCTTTAAATTATCTTTTGGGAGTAATTTATCAGCCAGATTTGATGTGCGATTAATTAGCGATTAATTAGATTAATTAATTGCGCATCATGTAATTAGATTAAAAATTGTAATCGCTTACCAGCCCTAGTTTGTACATAACTTCCTTTCCATGTTGTTTTATGAGACTTAACGAGACAGACATTTAGTTAGCCATTAATTAATCTCATCTATCTAGGAAGATATTACCATAATTTATAATCACAAATCATAAAGTAAAACTGGGATAGGCTGTAGTATTTGACATGATGGATTTCTATCCAAAAAAAATCAGCATTTCAAACCACAAACTATTTTGAATATGATTCACCAGCATGCATTTTCTTGTAATTGTAATGATTTTTCCCCCTTCGAAAAAAAGAGAAAGTGTTTAAAACTTATAGAGGTTTGTCTTTATTGAAAAACAAATGTACTGAACTAAAGCAATAAGCCCTGTGAAGCCGTGGTTTACAGTGAATTTATAACAGTTAAGGGGCATTGTTAGGCGCGACGCGAAGTGGAGTGCCTAAAACCCCCTTAGCTGTTATAAATTCACTGTAAACCACGGCTTCACGAGGCTTATTGCTTTTAAAAACGGTTATTCCATATATGTAGCAATGTTTCACAAAATAAAACAAAGCAAATAAAATGTAATTCTATTAATAAAAAAAAAAAAATATATATATATATTCTTCCGCCAAACAATATAGTTCCTCAGAAATGGTTGTGGTTGCAACAAAGTGGTTGCCGAACAACACACAGACATAAACAAAGGTGTATGTTTGTAGTGTAATTTACAACAGCTTCGAATGCGGCTCAACCAATCAGAATCAAGGACCGGAACTATCCATTTTATAATAAACATTTTAGTACAGAATACAAAATATATTTTCACAAAATAATGTGGACACTTACAAAGTTGTGTTCTAAATTTGAAGGTGATATCACAAAAATTCAGCCTGCTAAAGGTTTTAAAAGACCATTTCCATGAAAATGCAATGTCCAGTTTCAACAGGATGAATTTAGTGTTAAAGCTTTGGAATGAAACATGCCAAATCTTCCGACCAATAATAAGCTAACATAGCATTAAAATTAAAGTAAACAAATATCAAAAAGTAATTAAAATTACATTGCACTTTGAGAATTTGTTGAAGTTGAGATCATCTAAACTGTTGTTCTAAATTATTGATCTAAATCATCTAGATCATTGATCTACTCACCTTTGACAGTAACAATGAAATTCTTGTATTCGGTTCTTTTGTTTTTGCGGCTGATCTGTAGTTTATAGAGTCCAGAGTGAATTCTTCTGATGTTATTGATGTTGAGATCTCCAGTCTTCTCAACCAGCACCAGTTTGCTTCTGAATATCTCATCAAAACCATCATATGTTTTTTTACTGGTCGCTCCACTTATTTCAGCAATGAGATTGTTGTCTTCTTTATAGCACCACTGTATTTTATCATCTTTCTGTAGCTCAGTATCAGTCTCTAAAGTGACAGAATCTCCGTCTGCCACTGACTTTTCTTCAACTGTCACAGCTGGACATAGAAATGTGTTCATGAGATCAAGCTTAAATTTGGTGCACTTATACTGTTTAACCCTTTTTTGAATGTGTAAATGCCAAGCACATTAAACAAGTGTGAGCATGTACAAAAAGAGCAGTGTAAGAAAGTAAATGTTTGGGTAAAATAATCTAATTACAATAGTAAGTAATGGACTCCTGCATTGATCTGAAGCATTAGTGTTATCAAACCTAGATCTTAACGTGTTGTAAAACTGACAGTATATTCCTTGTCCACACTAATACGTTTTTGTTTGAAAATTTATATTTTCTCTTCGTTTTAGCCTTCTGTCCACACTTTGACAGCATTTTTGTCAAGGAAAGTGGAGATTTTTTAAAACGCTCACCAAAGTAAATAAATTTTAGTAAATTTTAATTAAATTTTAGCATTGTAGTGTGGACTGTGAAAACGGACGCCTTTGAAAACGATAGCACATGTCTTGTAATGTGACACATATTGTACCAATAGATATCTTTAAACCGGTATTGTGACTGTTCTGTGCTATTCACTTTCACATTATTGCTACAGATATGTTACATTGTACAGTACACTCTACATATCACAGTCCTGCAATAATGACAGAACATTTAGCTACTTGCAATTGCTGTTTGCGCAAAACAAGAGGGCATTTGCATTTTAGACTAGCCATACAATCGTGAATGAGTGCAAACTGGACGCGTCAGTGAATGATGAGATATTTTCCTAAATAAAATGAGCTCTCAGCTTTTTTGATGCTTTAGGCATGCGGAGTAAAGCAAATTTAACATATTCTGACGTTTCAGTGTGGATGAGAAACTATTGGAAAACGTTTGAAAACATGTGGACTGAGAGTGTTTTAAACAATTTCAAATTTTGTCATTTTAAGAGAAATTCAAGCAGGGCCGGTGTTGTGCCGAAATCTGCACCCCTGCCAGATTATTATGGAGCCAGATCGGCCTCAAAAATAACACATTTGCAAAACAAAATTCATAAATTCACAGCACAATTTACATTTACAAAATCCGATTCGTAAATTCAAAACACAATTCATAAATACACAAGTAAAAGCATAAATATTTCCCCAAATGCTCACACAAATGCATCTTACCTAAATAAATGTAAAATGTTTACACAAATATGTATATATTAGAACGTTGGGCTAACTGGAGCTAAGCTAATTGCTAACAAGTTGCTTGCATCTACACATGAGACTTTTAATTTGGTTATTGGAGAGTGCGAACGCTCGAGTCCCATACACCGCACGACCCTGAGTGTCTTTGTGAACACTAGCACAGACACAACAAATCAGTAAGAGACAGTACTGTCATCTTCCTCCTTTTATTCTAAACACAAAATAAGTACGTACACAAGCAAGGCCATATCGCCAAGTGTCTCCCCTACACATCTCTCTCCATGACGGTGACAGCCACACTTTTTATAACAAGGCAGTAAATGAACCAAACCCACCCGAACTAACTTGAACATAAACACAAATAACATTGCTAACAAGCAGGGCATAGAGGAACAATAATGTACATTATATGGAAAATGTGTTTTTTTAATTAAACCTCTTAAACACATTGCAATACACCAAATACACAAAATAATGTTCTTTTAAGCAACATCATATGACCCCTTCAATGCCTTTAGAACGGTGTCTTGAGATTTGATCCTACCCATCAGATTTTCCTACCAGGGCTTACTGCGCATGGGCACATCAATATTGCGTCCTTTTTCTCATGCTGAACAACAATATTTAATGTATCTGCATTACTGTAAGGGTAGGTTTAGGGTTGGGGTAGGTGTATACATTAATAAAACACAATCTAATAGGTAGAAAAAAATTATTTATTGTTGGTTTCCTGTAGCTGTATCCCTTCTAGCCACAACCGCGAATATAACACATAATTACTGTATTTACACTACTGTAAGGGTAGGTTTAGGGTTGTGGTAGGTGTAGAAATTAATAAGCCATAATTTGACAGGTAGCATTTTTCATTGTCGAATTGTACTACCTACTGTTTTAATGGGAGGTAGCAAAATCTTGACAGGGTAGCACAAATCGACAGAACACCGGCCCACTTTAGTTCACGACTGACTAAAGGCCTATTAAAATAATTTATAATAAAATAATGAATAATAATTAATTAAAAATAATTAATAATTAAATCCTAATGTAATTAAATCCTCATATAAGTCTGCAATAGTGCACTGTTCTCTACAGCCTTGTAATCCCTGAAAACTGACTTTTTTATTTTTATTTTTATTTTTTCTTTAGCAAGGTGCCGCTATCGGGGGAGTCAAAAGATAATTACGCCATCATTAGGGTTGCTAACTTCAGAAATGGAAAATTAGGGGGAATTGTGATTCTTTATAAGAAAATAAGGGACAGAATAAGGGAAACTCAAAATATTTGTACTGTACCGTAATGTCTGCCTGCAGTTAAAAAGTTCTCAGAAATAATCACATTTGTTTTGCTTAACATATTTATGTACAGTTATTCTAAAAATAATTTTAATGGCATACAAAAAAAAAAGCCTGAGTAAATTGTATCATTATAGAATTGTGACTGCACAAGTAGTGTAGTAATTTAGGAGGTAGGCTAAACATACTGTGAAATTACATACAAATGACATGAAATTTGAAAGCATAACCCAAGTTTAACTCAAATATTCAGATGTCTGCAGCACATTTTATGGAGGACTGTTTCCTGATCCTGGTAGAGTAGCCTACAATGCCGGCTGTTCTGACTCACAGACTGTAAGTACGTTTTTTTTATTTAAAGAATTTGCCAATGATGAATAAAACACGAGTTTTGAGCAGTGCAGAGTAGCTCTTGTTGTTTGTCATTTCTCCGATCACAAAAGCAGACATGGTTTTATGTTTACGCGGCACGATACAACGCGTAAAAAGACAGTATAAGTCTTTCATTACACCAAATACACAAAATAATGTTCTTTTTAGCAGCAACATATGACCCCTTTAAATCCACCGAAGTTAATCTACTCTCCTGTCTGATTTGTGGTTAAGGCTAGAAGGGATACAGCTGCCGTATACTGGGCATGCGTATTTACATATTTTCCTAGCCAATAACGTGAAACCTATGAAAATGTTTTAAAAAGCACATGGCACCATAGTTTCATCACTTTACAGTGTCACAATGACTGTGTTTTTGCAGTAAATGACATGTTGTAGTTTAATGAGTGGGAAGATGACATGCAACGTTGGCTGCATTGAAAACAGCCCTGCTGAAAAAAAAACAGCTAAAACCAGCCTAAGCTGGTTGGCTGGTTTAGCTGGTCAACCAGCCTGGTCTTAGCTGGTCATAAGGCTGGTTTTAGAGGGGCCATGCATACCATGCATACAGCGCCGGACACGATAGATTTTCTGGTATGCAAAACAAGTACTTTAAAGGAATTTCTTAGCTTATTGTCGTTACTGTGGCAGCCAACAACAGCACAGCTTAACCCTCTGCACATTTTTATATTTAGTTATATTGAAAAAGTTTAAATTCAGTCGATCTTTTTTTTACCCCGTTTTAACATGGATTTATGGAGTCCGGCTGTAGCTGTCGGACAAGATGACGGATAGCAAAGGCGGCACATAATATCCGCGTTCTGATTGGTCAGATTGCCTGTCAGTCAAGCTCCCTGCAAACGGTCAATTAACTCAATAGTTCCTTGTTTGGTCTTGTATATATACTCCTTGTGTTTCTGATTTCCTTTGTCCTGTCTGTGACAATAATGTTAAGGTGTTGTGTGATTCATTTTCCTGAGTGTTGAATTAAAGACTGTTCCTTTGGATTATTCATCTTCGTGCAGTAGCCTACTTATAGTGCAACCACTTTGACAATAGCTTATAATAACACTCATTGTTTTTTGTCTTTTATCAGCTGTAATACTCACCCACTTGCTTTTTTAGTTCAGAGATCTTGCCGCGATAGTAATTCACAACAACAGCTACAACTGCAGTCAAAAACAGCAGAACAGCAGCAGATATCCCAACTATAACACCCGGAGACAGACCCAGATCAGGAAGAGCTGAAGAGAGACAGTGATTGAGGTATTAAAGGTACACTCTAAAAATGCTGGGTTGTTTCAACCCAACTTTGGGTCAAATATGGACTAACCCAACCGTTGGGTTAAAATTTTACATAAAATTTTTAACCCAAAAGTAGGGTTAGTCCATATTTGACCCAAAGTTGGGTTGAAACAACCCAGCATTTTTTAGAGTGTAGCTGACCAAAGCAGAAAATCTTAAAAACAAAAGTTAGAAGTGAGGTCCTTTGGTCTTTACAATGAAATGGAAATATTATGTTCAAAATATCACATTTAATTCATTTAAAGTAATGTAGTATGCACTTTCTTTGTAATTGTTTGTGAAATTTACTAACAATTTCTGAGAAAAACTTTTTTCTACATTAATTATTTTAGTCAAAATCTTTTATTTAAGTTTCTCATCTAATATTTATACTTTAGCCATTTAAATAGTTAAATAAATTATCAAACACAAACAAGTATCTGTTTTAAGGTGCTGACCAAACTAGTCTTTTAAAGACATGCTCTAAAAAGACTCACCACTGACAGAAACCAGGAATTGCTGCGAGCTCTCACGGCCTCTGATCTGTACTTCATAAAGTCCAGTGTGTTCAGTTCTGGTGTTCTTGATGATCAGAGACCCAGTCTGATCCAGCTGCAGTCTGTCTTTGAATCTCTCATCAGCATCATTTAATGAAGTCTCGTTAGTTTCCACGTCGATTTTAGCCAGGAGGACACCTTTATCTCCAAACCTCCACACTATCAGATCGTCTCTTTGTATTTCAGTAACATAATTTTGTAGAGTGACAGAATCTCCCTCCAGCACTGATACTGACTTCACTCCACCCGTCTCACCAACCACACCTGGAAAACAAATCAGATCAGAAAATTTTGCAGGCGACATCCAATCAATCCAATTCTCATGATCAGGAATTTTGCCCAAATAACTTACTTCAAGTTGGTCTTGCGAATTTGCCGTTCTGACCAACAGAAAGCAGTGGAAGCATTGCTTCATAATTCTCAACGCTATTAAAAATGGCGTATATTTTATTTTATATATTAAAAATAAAATAAAAATTCCTTGTGTAATTTCCCTAAAATTTCCGCTAATGTGACCGCACCCGTAAAGTTTTATAGCGTGGTTCAAACCGTACAGTGTGAAATAATGAAAGCCGAAACAACCTCACTATTTTATTGAATTAAAAAGATATCCTTGAGATAGCCTACTCACCAATTACAGTAACATTAAATGTCTTAGTCGTAGTCTTTTCTCTAGAGACGGTTAGTTTATATTGTCCAGAGTGTCTGATTCTGGTGTTTCTGATGGTGAGAGAGCCGGTTATTTGGTCCACTTGCAATCTGTCTCTGAATCCCACATCATCGGTGACGAAAAAAGAGGTCAGGTCTTTTTTTCTCGTTATTTGGGATATGACAAAGCCTTTAGGTCCAAACACCCACAGTAACGTATCATCGTTCAGTATTTCAGTAAGATTAGTGTGTAGAGTGACAGAATCTCCTTCAATCACTGACATCGTTATATCTGTTTCTGCATCAAACACACCTGAAGAACATAAATTAACAATTACATATAGATTAATCTGATACCACACGTAATCTGATACCATCTCAGTAAACAGATTCAACCGAAAACTGTGCGAGACAGATACGGCATTATCGTGAATAATAATAATAATAATAATAATCAAAACAGCCCAATTGCTGGGTTTGTCCCTATTTTACCCAGCACTGGGTTGTATTTAACCCAGCATTTTTTAGAGTGTATTTTCTTGATATTCAACATTACTATGTGTCATGAATTAAAAGCCAATCAGCATCAAAGTAGTGAATGAAATTTAGCAATTTGGGAAACTTTGGGTGGCACCCCATTTTGCCTGTAGACTATGCATCGTCAGTAATGTCTGTCTTCTGAAACCACTGTCTTAATGCTAGGAGAGCGGGATGGTTGTAACATTTTTGACATTTCTGTCTGTATCTTGGAGTTCCTTTAATGCATTCAAAATGTGATTACAAATCTCTGCTATTAAATGGCATAGCTGTTATCTTTGCAGCACAAACATAAAATGCATGTTTTCATTTCAAACACAAGAAGTGAAATGTTACAATTCACCCTATGGGTTAGTTCGGTGAGATGATGACATGATATCCACCGAGGTGAGATGTAACATTATGCAATTAAGACTATGACCAAAAACATTTCTTAAAATGTTTCATTTTTAAGAACTGCCTCCCCTTTAATCGCAGAAATCTGTTTCTGCATCAAACACACCTGAAGAACATAAATTAACAATTACATATAGATTAATCTGATACCACACCTCAGTAAACAGATTCAACCGAAAACTGTGCGAGACAGATACGGCATTATCGTGAATAATAATAATAATAATAATAATAATAACAACAATAATAATAATAAATATAATAATAATAATAATAAAATGAAACGTACTATAATTTTTTTTTTTTAAAGCAATGCAAGTGTAATTTTGAACAGACCCGCTCTTGACGTATAGCGTGCAACTCTGTTCTTATTCTTCTGTATCTTGCAACTATAATGCTACACTCTAAAAAATGCTGGGTTAAATACAACCCAGTGCTGGGTAAAATAGGGACAAACCCAGCAATTGGGTTGTTTTGCAGTCCATGTTCAGCAGTCCATGTTCAGACTCTGGGTCTGAGAATTCCTTTATGATGGCTTGTTTACACTGGATGGTTGTAACATTTTTGACATTTCTGTCTGTATCTTGGAGTTCCTTTAATGCATTCAAAATGTGATTACAAATCTCTGCTATTAAATGGCATAGCTGTTATCTTTGCAGCACAAACATAAAATGCATGTTTTCATTTCAAACACAAGAAGTGAAATGTTACAATTCACCCTATGGGTTAGTTCGGTGAGATGATGACATGATATCCACCGAGGTGAGATGTAACATTATGCAATTAAGACTATGACCAAAAACATTTCTTAAAATGTTTCATTTTTAAGAACTGCCTCCCCTTTAATCGCAGAAGCGAACGTTCCTTTTCGGTCCGATGTAGGCTAAGTGCCGCCGGACAGCAATTTCGTAAAGCCACTTGTCCCCTGCATCTGTGCACTACAGACGTTTCCAACAGAAGTCGACGGCGACTGATTTAGGTGGGATTGGAAGACATTTTACAATGCACTTGTCGCAGCTGATGTCTAAAAAAATTATAATAATTAAACTTCTAAAACAAAAATCCACTTACCGTCCACGAGTAATACGAAAAGAGACAGCAATAACATCCTCTGCATATTTGTATAAGGTTGTGTAGATTCCAAATGTAACAAAGATAAACAATGGAGATTAGTTTTCTTCACCCAAACCGGCTACAAGTGCGGATATCTTACAAATTCACTAACATCTAACAGAGAGCCTTTACAGCAACTGAGAATCACGGCTTTTCTTGAATATGTTAATGACGTTTAATGAGGACCCAGTAAATTTATCCTTGAAAGATAAGTTAGAGGTGAACAGAACAGTAGCTTGCTGTGAAGAGAGAGACAACAGCTCCCGATGGGCGTGCCCGCATATATGCAAGTGTAGACAGAGCTCCGCCCACAATTAACATAAACAGGGAAAGCTCCACCCATTTGATCCATTTGGCTCAGCAGTCTGCGCCGCTTGTTTTCAGACATTGCAGGACATTTACAGAGTGGTGGGCGAACGGCCAGGGAGGGAATATGATTTATGCTTTTGCTTTGTTCACGATGAGTTTGTGGTGTCTGGTTGGTAAGTTAGCACAGAGTAATATTAATATTGATAATAATAAGCTTCTGTTTGGACTTGGTAAGGATTTTTTTCCTCAAACAAATGTAATGAGTGTGCCTGTTGAGTAATTTATTTAAAATAATGTGTAAAACCAAAATTGATTATTTAGTTTTAAAACATTGATCATGAGTGACACAAATTCTAATCAGTGTTATAATATTTCACGCATTTTTAACGTGTATAAAACTGTATGAACTTCTATGAGCCAATCTTTAACATGTTAGCTGAGTAAGATTAAAACTGATCCAGATCATGCTTTGTTTCACTTCTGTTTGCACGTGAAAATTGGTGCAGAAGAAACATCACCTGGGAGGAACAAATAAGTTCAATAATGCTCAGTGTTTTTTCAGTTTTGTTCAGCACAAGCTCCCTTAATGGAGTTTTTTTTCTCTCTCTCCCATTGATTCAACAGTGACATGTTTAAATCAGATATTTATTGTACACAATAATGTATAATGGCTTGGGACCAAATCACAATTATGGGTTAGAGAAATATAGTTTGGTCATTAGTAACCAGCATTATGTATTTGTGAGAAAACATGTTTCTGTTTGTTCTCTAGATGTGACAGATGAAGTGAAGACCATATCAGTGATGGAGGGAGATTCGTTCACTCTACACACTGAGGTAAATGAAATACAGAAATATCTGCTAATACAGTGGATGTTCGGAAGCACTCGAATAGCTGAAATTAACAGACTCACGCAAACCAACTCAACATACGATGCTGATGGGAGATTCAGAGACAGATTAAAGCTGGAACAAACCGGATCTCTGACCATCACAAACACCAGCACCACAGACTCTGGACTTTATCAGCTAGCAACTGTCAGCAGAGAGACCAGCTACATAAATTTCAATGTTACAGTCTGTGGTGAGTAAAAGAATTACAGCATAATTTGCCCATTTGTTTGAGTTATATCTTTGTCATAGGTTCTTTACTATTATTTGCAATATTCTTCACATTCACCTTTTTATAACAATGACTTTAATTCCATTTAAAAATTAAACCCCTATGAACGTTTAAGATATGATGCCACAGTAAAATCTGTCATTATCAGCGGCTCCACACAGTTCTTCACCATCAGAAAGATCGTCAAGCTCAAACTATGTGTTGTCCTGCTCTGCGGTCAACAATTCAATCGTCAATCACACTGAGGATGCAAACATTACTGAGCTCTATCAGCCGAGTTCAGGTACGTCAGGTGATATGAGCAATTATTTACACAGCAGAACATGTGTTGTCAGTCTCTTTTTTTGTTGTTGTTGTTGAAACTCAATAAGCCACACTGATCCAGTTGTGGCCAAACATGGGGTTAATTTGTTACTGCTGCTTGGTGCCTTATATAATCAACCACATAAACAAATTAATAAAAGTTTGAACATTTACATTTATGCCTATGGCAGATACTTTTATCCAAAGTGTCTTACATTGCATTAAAGACATGAGGGTGGGGTTCATTTTCTTCTTGCATATTCTTTGAGTTTACAGGAAGAGAGAACTGATCAGCAACAGAGAAGTGAAGACCGCATGTCAGACCTATTTGTTTGTTAGGTGCACCATATTGCTCAAGAAAATTTTAGCACTCGATGCAGAAAGAATCACATAATCACACAGGTTTCTATTAGAGCCGAGCTAAATGGACAAGAGTAAAGCTCTTAGGCTATTTATATTAAACAGTTCTAGCTAATGTTATTTGGCCAAACAATGAAAATGTGCATGAAAACACAGTAAAGCTTGTGGATGTTCTGCCTTCTCAACAAATGCTTGAGCTGCTAATGATAACCCACAAAACTGGCACCTATAAGTCTACTTGGAAGACAGCTAAATGCATTATTTTGACTCCGTTTGTTTTTGTTTTCCCAGTCTGCATTCAACATTGTGGTTTTACTGAAACTGTAATTCGATTGGCTCTCTCTGCTCTGGTGGGCGTGGCTGCTGTTGCAGCACTGGTTTATGACATCAGATCTACAAGAAGTGAGCTGAACAGGACAGAAGAGGCCGGATATTTCGATAAGACCCATGGAGTCAAATCAGACCAACAGTATGAACTAAGCAGAAGGTTTAGTTCCCCAAAATAAAACCTGTATTAGTACTAATTTCCTGTATGTGCATATCTAATTTTTAACAGATTGTTTAATTCATTGGCCATTTATTGACTGTATCTGCACATAATATGATTCGGATCAATCTATTAAATTAAACACATGGCTGTATACATAATTGCCCTAAACAAATAATAATTAGCAACACAAATGGTATAGAATGGCCCGTTTCCGTTGCACCCTTAAAAATAACACTCACAAAAGGCTATTAGCATTGTGAATTGTCCACATTTGTCACAATTTCCAGTTTCATGTTTCCCTATTCTATTCAGATATTAATGAACAATATCTGAGACACATTCTTACAATTAAAATGTCCTCTTTCCGGTTTCCAAATTTTGTGAGTCTCAAACCTCACTGAATGTCCATCCTAAACATAAACGGAGTATTTTCCAAATCTCTTATTTTGATAGAGATTTCAAGAAGCAATATCTGATGCTTATAGATTGATGTCATTTAGATGGTATACTTTACCGTTGCTTTCAAAACTTTTTGAAGTTACTTGATATTTGAACAAAATATCTTTAGTTTTTCCTACAGAAGTCTTGTTTGGAATGATACTAACATTTTGGGAGGGGAAGAGAGGGGGCTGTCACTTTAAATATACATGAGAAATCGGTCTTTATATTCAAGCCAGACCATTGTAAGGACCACCCACTGGCCCAACGACAGAATCCAAAGGCGTGGGGTGAAAGATTCTGCATGTGTCTGGTCTGCTGCTTCTCACTTAATTTAGTCTTCCAATTTATAATCTGACTCCATTGGTAGTTTATTCTAAATCCAATTTCAATGAATATTTAAAGTCGTAGCGGATCATAAGATTAGTTGTGCATTAACAATTAGTCTTTAAACCATATTTTAAGAAAAGGGATGAGTCGAAATTATCAGTTATTATACATTAGTCATCAGTACTAGATTTGAAAATTATTCACCAAATCTGGAGTCTTTAGAGATGTATTTAGACTGGCTAAATACTGACATTTTTAAAACTATACTTAACCAAGACTAACACAAAATACTACATTTCTCTCACATTAGTGTGTTATTGGTTTCATTTCTGGTAGCTTTGTACTTCAGTTCAAGGCTTCAACACCACACAGAAATTTTGCTAAACTATGGCATTTATTTGGTGAATGTAAAAGACCTCAAGTATGGTATGCAAAAAACAAAATGGAGGACTTTTTCCCTGATGGTTCATTCGGCACGGTTAGCTGCATGCATGGCCACAGGTGGTTGGGCAACACTTCTGTCTGGCAGGATACTGATCATCATGGGAAAAGTTATCAGCACACACTTGGTTTGAGACATAGACCAGGCCTCACTGCTATTCTAGTGTGTGGCCAGCCCAGTCTGTCAATTTAGCGGCATTCATATTCATAAACAGCACAATACACAATGCATGAACCACAAGTTTTACTTTTATGGCAAGTTGTATTTCAAGTATTATTAATCTTTATTTTGAAAAGCCATGTGCTTGAAATGGTGCTATGGGCCAAATGCAGGTACTTTGCCATTGAGAATGATAAAATACTTAAGAAAAACTGTGAGTGTGTGGGTGGGGGAGGAGGGGTTATTAATATTACAAATATCTTTCTATGGAGCCATACACTGATGTCCACATCCATTGCTGCAGCATTTCTGATTGTTCAGACAGTCACTGTCATGAGAACACATCTCGACACACAGTCCTTCTCCAAGGATTTTTGGACACGATCCGGGCTTTTCTGTCATACAAAAAAAGTGACAGAAACCAGATCACTGAATGCCTCCCTGATATGCCCCCCCCCCATTTGGTCCCCACAATGTTCCATTAACAAGAACACGCACACTAATAGTGTAACGAGGTGTCAGCAGAGTGAGGATCCATATGCAGCTTTATTAAAATCTTGGTTATACAGGCAGGGTCAATCACCAGGCAAACACAACAGTAAGGGCAAAGCAAATAGTAATCCGAAAACGGGCATAAGGTCAGGGCAGGCGGAAAACACGAAAATCAGTCCATGAATGAAAACAGTCCAAGGGCAGGCAGCAAAGAAACAACGAGAATAAACAGTCCAAGAGTGATCCACGGGCAGACACAGGAAACCAGAGAGCAGGGCTAGGAATTGCAGTGTAACATTAAACATACAATACTTGGCAAAGAATAAGAGATCAAACCAGGCTTTTATAGGGCGAGACTGATGAGGTAAAGATGTGAGGCAATCAGTGATGAGTCAGGGCAAAGGATTATGGGGAATGTAAATGTCCATTTATGCCTACTGTAAAAATACATTAATAAATTAATACACCAATTAATAACGCCCATCTCCGTGATTGTGTTCTCCTATAAAATGGTAGAAATACAAACAGAACAACTTAAACTTAACTACTTATTTAAATTACACCAACATACAAAGTTTAACTTTCACTGGACGTCTGTACTGTATATTTGTAAGTTCTGAGATGTGCCCATAGAAGTTATTACTTAGCTATTTCTTCGCACTGTGTAATGAAGTTAAAAGACCTCACCTGTGGCTGTTCCTTCAGCATCTGTTGTGCTCAAACAAACAGAGAGACACAATAAAGCAGCAATCAACGAGCAGCACACTCGAGCTGTCATCCTCTCGACCTGCGATCTCACATACACTCAGCTGGAAAAAGCGCTGAATTGGTGGGTCAAGAGGGTTTTAAGTGCTTTTTGAAAATGCGTTTTTAAAGATCAAAGGAGGCCTGCCGCAACTCCAACTCTGATGAAACTCACCTGCCTACAAGGAGCGTGATCTTGAAGACCCTGATTAGGTTGTTCAGGTGTGTTTGATGAGGGATGCTGTTCACACCATATCGTAATAATTACCGTAATTACGAGATGACAACACGTAAAGATCTAGCTCTGACGATTAATTGAAAAATGTATTTTTGCCCAGCCCTAGGTAAATGAGCCTTTGTACATCTGCAGGAAGGGTTATCCAGTAGTGTGTGATCACCTAGGAATCTTTAACTGATATTGTGGCAAAATGGCCTGGAAGCACACATGACTCTTTTGTGTTGGTCCGTTCTTCAATTTGCCAGAAGAGCGTGGCTTTGGTGATGGCTGGCTGCTGGGAGGCAGTGGATTTCCAGCCACCATTGCAGAGGAGAGGTTCAATGAGGCCCATGGATGGAGATGCTCTGGAGAGGAGCGTGGAAACAGCATTTTCGCTGCATCAGCAAGTCCAATGGTGGCTTGAATCTAAACCCCTCCAGAATCTGCTCTGTTATTGTGGTTACTGTAATTCTCCACAACATCAGAGAAAATGTCCAGCTTCCTGAGCAGGAAGAAGCATGTCATGCGGGTGCTGCTGATGGTTAAGATGCTGTTTCTGATGAATGATTTCCATTAATGAATTTATAATATGTTTAGTTAGTATTTATTTTCCTTCTGTTTCTTCTGACATAATGTGTTAAAAAACATTAAGTGTACAGTATATGTTTACCTTGGTCTATATTTTCCCCTGCAAACTTAATCGAAACACTTTTGCAAACAAGGAAGCATATTTGTTTTCTTTTACAAAGATTATTGAGATATTCCACAATTCTATTCTACTTCTGTAAACACAACACATAACCACTTACAATGACATGCAATCTCATAAAAATTAGATATATGGTCATACACTGACATTTATGAAATTATTTGTCATTTATTTGGGTATGTTGTCAATAAGAATTACATTGATGTAATTATACAAATAAAGGGTAATATTTTTTAAATATGTAAATAAATTACTTTTACAATCACATAGCACTTTTTTTGTCACTACCACCACTTTTTTTTACTTAAACCACTGCATATATGTTGCATACATATCATATATGTACAGTACATATAACTTAAAATATGTTGTGTAATATACTGTTATGTGACATTTCTCTTGTGACAAAGATTTTTGCTTGTAAATAATAAAACTCAACTTTTATTTACAAGCCAAGGCTGCATTCAAAATGGCATAAATGTTTTCGGAGTGCACTTCGAAGGGAGCACAATTGTGATAATCATGCTTGAAGATTGTTAAAACTGAACTTGTAATAAAATGACTTGAACAGGACAACTTTCAGCTTTCGAAGTGATTGGTGACTAGCAACTCTCCACTCTGAATCGAAAACATATATAATTTTTAAAATAAAAAAGTGCCACTCAACTAACAATGAATATGGCTCTGGACGGTCAGTGATGTTTCTGAAATGATGATAGAACTTTTATTTTTGGGTGAGCTGAAATGTTGATGATGTCACAGGTGGGCATATCTTATCGCATTAAACTGAACTCGCCCCCTCCAGCTCATTCACTCCTTCAGGATCCTCTGCACTTATCACTACAGTTGATGATTCATTCACTCGGTTTCCTGTAAGAAGAGAAAATATAGAGACAATCACAGAAATTTAAAAGACAGAAGACCTGGAGGTCAAGTCTCCAAACTTAAAATACACCAAATGTCTTATTGTCTTAGAGTGCCAGAAAAGAACCAGGTGTGATTTTAACCCTCAAGGACAGTTCAAAAACTGTGACCTCCTGTATCGTACGGGTCATTTGACCCATAGTGGATTCAATGTAATGCCACAAAAATTACGATATGAAAAAAAAAACATACAATCAATAAACTTTTAATATCAATACTTTTTTACACATTACAAAGAATAAATATCTGAATTTATTATTTATACAAATGTTTTTAACCACTACTTTTGACTGCCACTTCTCCACACCTGTGAGATAATGTCTTGTTCTAAACCTAAAGTAATTTTGACAAACTATATATCATTTGAAAGGTTTCGGACTCTAGTTTTCATCTTTGGTACCTGTTTTTCATTAAGTAATGACAGCACAATAGATAAATAGAGATAGATTCTCCATTTGTGATATGGTGCCAAACACACTCTTATTCTATACATGTTTTTATGTGTTTTAGAGATTGAATTCAAATCATATATTAAAGTTACTGCCCAGACTATTTCTGAATAGGATGTCTACTTCATAAATAGTTAGAAAATTATGGAAATATATAGTTCAGAACACTCAAACAATGAATGGAAATCAAGAGTCCCTGTTTATCATCTAGTGGAAAAGTTTGGTACTGCATCCACACTGATAAAAAATTTCTGCTTGATTTACTTAAAAAATATGATGAATTTTTTTGCACAATTTTATTACGTAGATCAAACAAGACCAGTCTTTGTACAAACTACTTAATTTTTCTGTCTGTTGAAAGAAAATTTGCACATAAAGTACACTTAATTTTAGTATTTCTTTAGTCATTTTTTTGTGTGTGTGATCTACATAACTTAATGTGTATTTTTGATTGAATCCAACTTAATTTTTTTATTTCCCTATTACAAATTTCAAGTGGGGTCTACTTTGTTTTTCCAAATTTGTTAGTGTATTTTAAAGTTACATGTACTTAAATTTTCTAATTAGCAAGTATTTCTACTGAAAGTATAAATGCAATTAGTTCATTAAAAAAAAAAAATATTTTTATACAACTATTTACTATTTCACCACTGGTACTTTTCAATGGAATGCCAGTAGAATATATACTCATCAAATATGGAAATCTAGTTATTACATCACATAAAGCTGACATTTTTGCCATTTGATAGTAAAAACTGCACAGAATATTTTCTATAAAATTGTGTTTTCAGTCCTTAACAGTAACATCTCTAAGACTTTAAAACAAGAAGCACACAAACATGATCCCAATGTGGATATAATCTTCTTATAAAGCAAAATTTCCATTTCCAAGTTTCTATTGAAATAAATTCACATTGTGCAAAAAATTTTCCATGAGTCACGTTTCTCACTTCTTAACAGTCATCTTTCCTTCAAATGCACCTTGAACATTAACAGACTCACAAACATGGTCCGAATTCAGTTTCTTTGGATAGCTTAGCTCCAAGGCATAAACAAGGCCCATAGGTGCAAGCATGTGCTACATTGGGAATAGCAAAAAGGACCTCTGCTCCCTCGATGGCTATTTCAGTTTGCTTCTCGAGACCTCCATCCCTGGCTTTGCTGACCACAAGGATGGAGTACAAATGAAGTGAGGTCCTCTTGGATGGCTGCAGCACTGTTGTCATCATAAACCTGTTAAATATACCAGAGAGAATTAAACCTACTGTTTTTTGCTAATATGAAGAAGGTATATAGCTCTATGGCTATTTCAGTTTGCTTCTCGTGACCTCCATCCCTGGCTTTGCTGATCACAAATATGAAGTACAAATGAAGTGAGGTCCTCTTGAATGGCTGCAGCACTGTTGTCATCATAAACCTGTTAAATATACCAGAGAGAATTAAACCTACTTTTTTTGCTAACATGATGAAGGTATATAGCTCTTTGCTCTCCCTCTAAACAGAAATCTGGGCGGGATTACGTGATTGCTGTGGTAGTTTTGATCTATATGTACAATTTGTTCTCAAAAGTCACTTGAAGAATGTGCTGTGTGTTGTCCGAATCTGGGTGGGATTACATGGTTGCTGTGGTAGTTTTGAGTGGTGTTGTGATTTAAGCCAAGAAACGTGTACTCATCAGAAATACATTTGTGAACCTTAATTTTTTTACACTGATTTGCCTACATTTATAAACAATATAACTATCTTGTGTGAATTGAAAAATATTTCTGTCATGACAACTCTCGGAGGGATTGGCATGGTAATGTACATTACAATGTTAATGTATTTGGTCTTGGCGGATTAGATTTGCTACGCTGCTGCTGCGGCAGAGCAAGAACTGAGACTTGCTACTGCCAATACATCCACACATGCTGCTGTGAGTATGTAAGAAATACTGCTGCTGTACATATAACATACATGAAATAACCCCCATATAGCATACACGATGCTACGCTGCTGTTGCGGCAGAGCAAGTACTGAGACTTGCTACTGCCAATACATCCACACATGCTGCTGTGAGTATGTAAGAAATACTGCTGCTGCACATATAACATATATGAAATACCCCCATAGCATACATGAATCACCTCGTAGCATGATCTATACAGGTGGAGCTGGGCAAGGTGGAGGGTTTCTGAAGAGCACTGCACTGTTACAGCAAGCACAAGCCAAGTATTTGAATGTTGAGCAGCAAGCTCATTGGCTGCTAATACAGAAGTGAACCAATCAGCTGTGCCATGTGATGATGTTATGTCATATATATATATATATATATATATATATATATCAAGAAATAAATGTGACAATCCTTCAGTATGCATTCATGAAAAGTGAGTTTACCTGGTAGTCCTTGATTAACTCCTCTGTCTTTTCACCAAGGTATAGAATGAGGCCTCTGATCACAGTTACTCTTTGGGACTCAGTGCTGTTGTCCTACAAATATATTAAATATGAGATTATCTTAAATGCAGAATAGAATGCTACAACATTAAACTAACTACTACAATGTTAAAAGTACATGCCTCATTTATGATGCCATTTGAAATGAAAACAACTTTTTGTCTGGCCCATGAGCTAACTAAGTTCATTTAACTTTATCCCCCACTTTCCTCACTACAATAAACCAATTTATTGAAAGTTGCATACCTTTATGCAGTGTACTTGTCAAGAGAATCACCTGGTAAGGACACAGTGTTATGGTTAGTGACTGATCAGTGCAAGAAAAACAAAAACAAAAAAACATAGCAAATAATTTAACTATAATTAAAAATAGTTTCAAATTTTCTTCTCTCCACAACCACTGCAGGTGGCTGACCTGCTGATCAGACAGCAGAGTGTCTTCAGTCGGAGGCTCCTCCAACTCCGCTGTAATAATAACCGATACAGAAAGTCACTCTATTCTTTCCAGCCATTCCTAGTAATTCTATATAATGACTCTCCTCTGCAAGGGCAGAGGACTTATA